ACCCAATTCTGCGATCAGCTGTTTCTGCGTCCTAGCATTAGTGGTTCCCCGACACTGGTCCACAGACTGACTACAAGAGTATCATTTGGGCTGGGGCGTCTGGGTGGCTCAGTCGGTTAAGCCTCCGATTTCAGCTCAGGTCATGATCTCACAGTTTGTGGGTTCGAGTCCCTTGTCAGGCTCTGTGCTGACAGCTCAGAGGCTGGAGTCTGCTTCAGATTCTGTGTCTCCCTCTCTCTCTGACCCTCCTCTGCTCACGCTGTCTCTCTCTCTCTCAGAAATAAATAAAACATTAAAAAAAATTAAAAAGATTAACATTTGGGGTATCTTATTAAAAACACAGAATCTTGGGCAGCCTGGGTGGCTCAGTCAGTTAAGCATCTGACTCTTGGTTTCAGCTCAGGTCATAATCTCAGGGTCATGGGATTGAGCCCCATATGGGGCTCTGTGCTAACAGTACAAAGCATGCTTAGGAATCTCTCTCTGCCCCTCCCCTTCTCTCTTTCTCAAATAAATTTTTAAAAAAATTATAAAATACAGTCTTAGCTTCCACTGTGATCTTTTGAATAAGAATCTCAGTGTAGAGCTGAGATTTTTAACAAGCTCCCCAGGTTATTCCAATATACCACCAGATTTAGGAAGTATTGCCCTATATGGCCAAATGGCACCAGCATTCACCAAAGCAAAAAACTGAGTACCATCATGTAGAGTAGCCTTAAAGGAGGAAATACTCAAAAACAAAAAACAAAACAAAACAACAACAACAAAAACAGAAGCAAACTCTACTTATTCATTTAAGAGGCAAAAATCTGCCATCTGTGCATCTTGGTCTATGTTCTCTTCTTTGTTTCCCTTGACAACAATTTTATGGCTCTTAATATATTCTCTTTTTCCTTTTCTAGGGAGAGAACTACCCAGTGGTAGTTTATGTTTTCCTTTGCGAGTCCCCTTAGTGGTAACGTTAGAATTCTTTACTTTCATAACTGGGCTTATGTATTGATGTTGAACAATAGAGATGACTTTTTTCCCATTCTCGGTCATTTCTTGGGGTTAAGAACTTAGGGAAATTTGATCTAGATTGGATCTTATAGGAGCTGATAGGCCAGTATCTAATAAGTTCCCAGAAAATCTCTGGAAATAAATGTCACTCCTGACTCGCACTTTAAGACAAACATCTCTAAATTAAGGCTGAAGACATCTCACTTCCTGAAGATGAATATAAGTGCCCCATCTAAGGCTTCCCTTGTGTCTGTCCCATCTAGTACTATAGGACAGGCTATAATGACTTGTATACAATACTCCCTTCTCCAACTAGACTGCACTCCACTCAGATTCCTCCACTCAGATCCCTAGGCACAACACGTGGTGTCATGAAGCTGGTAGAGGCCTTAGAGAGTCCAGTCTAACCTCCAATGTTCAAGTAAGTTTGGGGGCCATCTCTCATGGATGCTGTAGAGTAGAGAAGATCCTGCAGGAAATCTCAGCTCAGTGACCTCTAGTCTGCACATTGGAATGGATGAGAAAAAGAAGCAGCATCAAAGACAGAGATGGCTTCTCTGAGCACATAAACTGTCAGTGGTGTGGTCCCTCAAAGCAGAGGAGTTAGCTGGAAGCTGGCAGAACCACTGGCCTCTTCCTCTTCTCTTGGCCCCTCTGAGTCATGCCAGGTAACAGCCACTGGACTGACTCAGGCAAAGGTGAAGCTAATAATGTGGATTTTAAGGGGACTCAGACCCCAAATAACTATGCAGATACAAGTTACTTAAAGAAAAAATATATACCCATCTAAGCCCATTATCACAAAATCCACTGTGTCCTAGAAGATAATGGTTTATGCATTCTCAAAGGCTATTCTGCAAAGTTTTTTTCCCTTTAAAAGTGTTATTTTCCCATAGAAGCTTGTTTAAAGGGTTAATGAGATTTTTTTTAAGGCTCAGATATACCTGGGATCAAGTCAGCTTTTGCACTGGGTGTTTTCCTATGGGACCCGCCGTTCCTCAAGGGATCTGTGTTCAAGATCCAAACAGTCAACTTGTAAATGAATTTTTGATTCAAGGTTTTCTGTAAAATTAATTCTCTTCTGGATCAACAGAAAAATATGTTTTCATCATTGCTAAGGATTTTTTTAAATAAGTATCCAACAAGGGCAATAAAATAGCAAATGGACAATGCTTGAAGACCACACAAAAGTGACTTCCAATATTAATTTAAAAGAATAGGTTACCAAGAGAGATGGTTGAACGCCCCCCATCCCCTCCCTGGGTAATGCTTAAAAAGAGACTAAATTGTCACCTACTTAGATGGGTTTACATATGACCTGGGTGGAAGAGATATCCTCTTCCCTCAAGGCCCTTCCACCAGCCATATCGGCTTTCTACCTTCTTAGAACAAACATACTGATGGGCATTCCTCCGTGTCTTGGTTTCACTGAGCTCCTGGTGCAATATGCCAAACACATACATCCAGAGCCATGGTCCCAACCCTGCGGCCAATATTTGTACTTCCATCCAGATACTTTAGTGATGCTTCATTAAAAAGAAATGCTCTCCTTTCCAAGTCCTTGAAAACTATCAGTGTCGTGCAAGAAAAGGAGGGCAACATTTGTCTACTAATTGGCTCTAACCCTAGAGCATTCAGGAGGTTTATAAAGTGCTTTCAAAGGAGGATTCATTCAGTTTGCTCAAAAAATAAAGAAGGAGAAGAGATAGGAGCATGCTGACTTTTTTTGGGTGGTAGCTTTATTATTAGCAGTCTTATTATCATTATTATAAGTCTGAAATTGGAAGGGTGCCCGGGTGGCTCAGTCAGTAAAGCATCCAACTTAGGCTCAGGTCATGATCTTGCAGTTGGTGAATTCGAACCCCAAGTTGGGCTTTGTGCTGACGGCTCGGAGCCTGGAACCTCTTCAGATTCTGTGTGTGTGTGTGTGTGTGTGTGTGTGTGTATGTATGTATGTGTGTGTGTGTGTGTGTGCCCCTCCCCTGCTTGTACTCTGTCTCTATCTCTCTTTCAAAAATTAACATTAAAAAAAAAAAGAAGCCTGAAATTGGAATGTATAATCTATCCATTAGGAACATATATCTCAAATTAGTGGAGTTAGTATAGTTTCTTTAGTCATCTCAGGTCACAATGGTGTGGAAAATATGGTTTTCTTAGTGTACAAAGATATTTATTAACAGCATTTATAATAAAAATTGAGAACCAATGCTTCCCACAATAGAAAGCATGCAGGGAAAACAGTTTCCAGAGTCAGGTTACATAAAGGTATAGGATTTTTAAATATATACCCAATTGGCTCCATTTCTCTAGAGAACCCAGACTAATATAGTAGTCTGGCATTAGTTTTTTTTTTTTTTTTTTTTAATATTTGTTTATTTTTGAGAGAGAGGCAGAGTGTGAGTACAGTAGGGGACGAAAGAGAGGGAGACACAGAATCTGAAGCAGGGTCCACACTCCGAGCTGTGAGCACAGAGCCCGATGTGGGGCTCAAACTCAGGAACCATGAGATCATGAACTGAGCCGACGTTGGATGCTTAACCTACTGAGCCACCCAGTGCCCCGAACATTTTTTAAACCTTTCCCAGTGGTTGAAATGTTCAGCTAGAATTGAGAACCTCTGGTCTAGGAGTGTTTAATCCCTTAGGGGGTTCATGAATGGCTCTGAAGTCTGTGAACCTTGGAACTCACAAACAGAATTTTCCCTGTATGTTTACCTTATGTCATTCAAACTCTCAGCTAGTCCTCAGATCTCCTCCATGACATCCCTGCAAAACCACTGTTTGCTTTTGTTTAAACATCTCGAGCCACTGGAAACCCCCTCTTCCCTGAGGAAGTCCATCTCACCTTAGAACAGTTCTAAGAGTCAAACCCCTTGAGGAAACAGAGGCACAAGAAGCCTGACTTTGAATAAAAGAATCACAAAACATCAGCCAGAAGTATACCTAATGCTCTTCATGTGTAACGTCCTCATTTTATAGAGGGAAAAACTGAGGCACAGAGAAATTAGGTGCCTTGCTCAGATTAAAAGGTTCAAAAGGGACTGTCCAGCGCTGGTTCCCTGTTTAGTTTCCTCCCTTCATTGCATGCAGTAATGTCCCTTCAAGGAGGTGACCTGTGGTGGCACACTTTAGATGGGCAGGGCTGGGGCCCGGCTGAGGAAAAACCGCCATTCTCGCATTCTGTCATCCCCGTGGAAGGTGCAGGACTGAAAGGGGAGTGGCCTGCCTCCTTCTTTCATGCTGAGAGCCTCTCCATCCCCACAGGTCCCCACATGGACGAAGGTGAAGATGCCAAGAAAATCCAGCTCGATGGTCACACTGATATCGTACAAGGTACCAATTTGGAGACACTGGTCTATCTTATCCTCTGAAAGACAGGTGCGGACACTGAAGGGAAGGGCAGTGAACATGCTCTGCCTCTGGTCCTTTGGAAGGTGGTATAATTGATGATCAAACAGTGATCTGAATGTTTAAGATCTGCACAGTGGATTTGTAAATATGTGTTAAAATTTAAGTGTTATTAAAGAAACACTGACTTGTTTAGGTTGGAATCAGGCTCATTAATAACTTGGACTCATTATGTTCAATATTTCAATATCTTCCACTTATTACCAAGTAGCTTAATATCTTACTAAGCTCCTTACTATCTCCAAGCCTGATTGCCTCATCTATAAATTAATGTTAATAATGTCCATCTCAGAACCTCAAAGAACAGGTGTATGGAGCGAATTTCATGACATGAAAGTGGCTGGCGGGGTGCCTGGCATTATGATGCGTCTAGTCATCGGTGGCTGTTACTAGTATTACTATAATGATCAAAATACAAAATATTACAGTGACCAATTATTCTCGTATATGCCTTTTCTCACCACCACTTTCGCTGACAGAGGTGATGCCATAGTATATTCTGAATCCCCACCCACAGAACTTGGCACAAATCTGTGCCCACGGTAGGTGTCAATAAGAACTCAGATTGAATTGAATCAAATGAACCACTCCTACCGGATTATTCTGCTCTTTCAGGGGTATTTCAGACCCAGGTTCGGCCTCGAGGCTGACAGAGTCAATGCATTCAGCAAGCGCATCCTCAGTCACTTCTCCATTGGGAGGATGCTGAGCGGCAACGCTGTGCTGGGGCTGCTCAGGGCGCCCAGTGTCCGCAGTCTCTGTACACTGAATGGTTGCATTTTCATGCCCATCTCCTTTGGCATCAGCTGGTGTCGGCTCACTTGAAATCGTAGCTGAATCACAGTGTGCTTCCGTCTCTTTGGGTAAAAACTCGGTATTGGGCATCTTGGGAATTTCTGCTTTGTCTCCAGTGGCTGAGGTGTCACCGGCATCGTCAGACATTTTATCTGTCAATGTGATTACAAACAAATATTTCGGCTTTAATCAGAATTGTTGAACTTGAATTCAAAGCCCCAAATAATTAAATCTGGGAGGGGTAAACTTTCTTCTACCAATAAGAAACTTTATGTAACCTTGGGGTAGGCTGAATAATGGCCCCCACAGGTATCCATGTCCTATTCCTTGGACCCTGTGAATGTTTCCTTACATAGCAAAAGGGATTTCACATATATGGTTAAATTAAGGATCTTGGGATGGGGGGATTATCCTGGGTTATTTGGATGTGTCCTAAATGAAACCATAAGTGTCCTTAGAGAGAGGCTAAAGGAGATATGATGTACAGAGAGAACAGGCACAGAGACTGAGATGATCAAGACGGCGGGGGGGGGGCATGAACCAGGGAATATGAGCGGCCACACAAGCTAAAAAATGTCAAGGAAACCTTTCTCCCCTCAGAGATACCAAAAGAAACCAGGCCTACCAACACCCTGACTTTAGCCCAATGAAAACCAGTTTTGGACTTCTGATGTCCAGAACTGTAAGAGAATAAGTTTGTATTGTTATAAGCCGCTAAGTCTGTTGTAATTTGTTACAGCAGCAGTAGGAAACTAATACAACTGTATAGTGCTATCTCTAAACATTCATAGATCTCAGACTTGGTATGTGGGGATTTGTGTATGGGAACTATGAGTATTATCTATGTCTGTGAAAGTATTTAATATCACTTTATTAATTATAATTATAGCAATAAAGAGAATAAATAGAAAATAGAGCTCATCAAAAACTACTTGACATTTAACTTTGTGGTGTCATCAGAGATTCACACTGAGAAAACAACATATATACATGTGAGTGTGCTTTGTTGGACACCAGCTGGTGTAGGCCTGGCCTCTGTTTAACAAGAGTTTATACTGGGAAACACAGGATGAATTGGAAGGGAAAGAAGTGAGGTATTAAGTCAAATGAGGAATGTCATTATTATGAAATTACCTACAAAGCAGAAAACTCTTTACCAGGCTTGCCAGGTATTGTTTCACGTAGAACAGCACCATTCAACAGAACTTTTAAATGATTTCATTTTACATTTTACATAGGCATGTATGGCTAGTGGCTACCTTACTGGATAGTACAGATCTAAAGGCTAGTTCAAGATGATAATTTTCATTTTTTTAAAAAAATTAAAAATTTTTATTTTAGAGAGAGAGAGAACTGGGAAGAGGGGCATGGGGAGGGGGGAGAGGGAGAGAGAGAGAGAGAGGGAGAGAGAGGGAGAGAATCTCAAGCAGGCTCCATGCTTAGTGTGGGGCCTGATGTGGGGCTCAATCCCACAACCCAGGGAACATGACCTGAGCCGAAATCAAGTCAGGTGCTCAAACAACTGAGCCACCCAGTTGTTCCAGGATGATAATTTTTTTAGGCTAAAATGATGACACAGGGTTCTCAATACACCAGAAGTCAAGTCTCAATCAAATCAGTGGGTATTTTTGTTGACCTCAGTGTTTACCAATTGATCAAACCTCAAGTTGTCAGGAAAGCCACACTAAGAACCCACTTAACATACTGGCTACACGGAGGTACAGGGTTAGGATCACGTGCACATGTAGCCCGCTGGTCCCCTTGCATAGCCATTCCCCAAGGTTGTCTGGCCATTATCTTTTCTTGTACTATATTCTCTTCTTTGGTGAATCACATTCCTTTCTCACAGTTTCGCACACCACTGTCATGTGGTGAGTTTCAAACATCTACCTCATTCTGTTGAGATGGAAAGTAATTTAGTGGTTTACAGGAACTGAGGGGAAGGGGAATGAGGAGGGACTGATTGCTAATGGGTCCCGGATTTCTTTTGTGCGCAAGGAAAATGTTCTAAAATTAGACAGTGGTAATGGCTGTACAGCTGTGTAAATATATGAAGACCACTGAACTTCCAAAATTCAAGGAGTGAACTTTGTGGTATGTGAATTATATCTCAATATATTAAGAATATATATAATACATATAACCTATAATGTCAAATGTTAATAATGCTGTTATTAAAAAAATTTTACTTCTGGATAAGTAGTTCTAATGGCCTGCTGGACAACTGTTCCCATCCAAAAGGAAACTTGTTGTCTTACTGTTTTGGTTTTTTTTTAATTAAAAAAAAGAAAGAGACAGCATGAGCAGGGAAGGGTCAGAGAGACAGGGAGACACGGAATCTGAAACAGGCTCCAGGCTCTGAGCTAGCTGTCAGAACAGAGCCTGACGTGGGGCTTGAAGCCATGAACTGTGAGATCAGGACCTGAGCCGAAGTCAGACTCTTAACCGACTAGAGCCACCCAGGTGCCCCACATGTTGTCTTACTGTTAATACTAGTTCTTCCTGTTGACTTTTGTGTTTCTTTTAATGGTGCCTTGATTTCCCCAATGACCTAGGCTTAAAACCTCAGGGCTGTCATTAACTAAACCTTCACTCCCTCAAGAATACAGAATATCGATTCCTATACATTATGGAGTGCCTACTAAGTCTAGGCTCCTTACATGTATTCTCTCCTGTGAGTTAGCTATTAAAGCTCCATTTTACAGATGAGCAACTGAGGCTCCGAAGTCATACTTTCAGTAAGTGACAGATTTGAGATCTGAACCATGTCAGAGCCCAACTGCAGTGCCACCAGCCTCTTCTCTCCCTGTGCCCAAATCCTAGAGGCTCTTTATTCAGAATTCATGCCTTTTCTTTTTCTTCTATTCACCACCACCACTCTAGATCAGGTTCTTGTTATGGTTCACGTTGATGACTTCAACACTGGACTCAGCTCTCTACTGTTGCTCTCCCTTCTGCTTCCCCACCCCTCACCCTTCTGTTCATACATCCTTAGGGGCCTTCCACTTGCTATTGGGATGAGGCGGGAAGCTTCAGCTGGCATCCAAGCACCTCTGTACTCTGTTCCCACTATGTTTTTCTCTCACTATTCTCTTCCAAAACCCGAACCAAGACAATGTAAGTATCTGTGCAATGCCTGACCTTCACAAAAGACCCTCATGTGGTTGTTAGTTCAATATGCTGTTTTAACACATTTAAGACCCACTTAAAATAAGCACTGCCTCCATTATTCATTCTTCCCAACTGGATATAATTTTTCTTCCTCTGAACTGCCAGAGTGCTTTGCATCTCTCTCACCTTGGACACTTATACTCGCCTTTGGTTTAGAGTCACTTGAATCTTTTCCTATTATAGTATATTGTAAATTCCATGAAGAAAAGGATCTCTCTTGTTTTGTTTTCATATTTTATATAGCACTTCACATGGCTTCTTAAACATAGTGGGAGGCTCAACAAATCTGTATGTTGTTTTAGAAATATTTTTGGAGACTTAAAATTAAAATGTAATTTGAATTAGTGTTTTTGCATTTTGGGGGCAAATAGCCAGTCGCATAACTAGATTGAAGGTGGACCCCTATGTTTATAGCAGCATTATTTACAATAGCGAAACTAAGGAACCAGCCCAAGTGTCCATCAGTAGATGCATGGACAAAGAAGATGTGGCAAATATCTATTTATACAATTCAACCAGAAAAAATAGAATGAAATCTTGTCATTTGCAACAACTTTCTGGATAGAGCTAGCATATGATGCTAAGTGAAATAGGTCTGTCAGATAAAAACAAATACTATAGGACTTCACTCACGCGTGGAATTTAAGGAACAAAACAAACAAGCAAAGAAAAAAAGAGAGAGGGAGAGAGAAACCAAGAAACAGACTCTAAACTATAGAGAACTGATGATACCAGAAGGGAGGTGGGGGGGGGGGTTTAAAAGGTGACAGGGATTAAGAAGTACACTTGTGATGATGAGCACCAGGTGATGTATGGAATTGTTGAATCACTATATTGTATACCTGAAGCACTGGATGTTAACAATATTGGAATTAAAAACTTTTTAAATGTGATTTGAAATGAAAGCAAACAGAAAATGCCTTTACCCTCATTTACTACTTAAGATCTATCTTACAGCAAATGGTTCCAAATGAACCATATGGGAGGTTCCTTCACCTCCCAGTTAACTAAGTTAGAATGTTTCCTTTTATTTTAAGTTCATTTATTTATTTTTAGAAAGAGAGAACGCAAGCAGGTGAGGGGCAGAGAGAGAGAGAGAGAGAGAGAGAGAGAGAATTCCAAGCAGGCTCTGCAACATCAACATGGAGCCCGACCACCAGGCTCGAACCATGAACCATGAGATCTGACCTGAGCCAAAATCAAGAATCAGACACTTAACCAACTGAGCTACCCAGCTGCCCCTAGAAGGTCTCTTTTTAAATAGAAATCCTTGGATTCAGCAATAATACTCCTATAAACAAGTCTATGGGTGGAAAAGGCAAAACCTGCATACGTCCCTTTAGCTGATATATAAAGTTTAGGATATTCAAGGTTGGAGATGGTGCATCAATATGGTCAATGCCTAGTTGAAATAAAGAGAGAATAAAACAAGGTCAGTGCTCAGAAAAGGCAGTTGCTGTGGTTCATGGGAGGAAGGAAGAATTGAGTGACGGTACTTGAAAAGCTGCTGTCCTTTAGTACATGAATAAAATCTTCTTGAAAATCTCAGAGTCAGGACTGGGTTAGGACTCGGGGTTGGCAAACCATAGCCCGCTGGTGAGATCCTGCCCTCTGGCTCCTCTGGTAAATCAGATTTTATTGGGACACACACATGTTCATGTGTTTATGTGCTATCTACGGCTTCTCTATAACTACAACGGCTCAGTTGAGTAGCAGAGAAGACCATAGGGCCCACAAAGTCACAAAGCCCAAAATATTCAGTATCCAGCCCTTTACAAAATGTTTGCTGACCCACGGTCTAGAACATTGCTTGGTTGCCATGATCTAAAAATTTTTGTTTTAATTTATCCTATCCTTGCCTGGGTCCTAGGGGCATTAGAAGAATGGCCCTGTGAATAAATGATGCTTCAACATCACTTTTGTTCCCATTTTTTATTCAGCAATAGCTGGTCATAGACACTGTCTGATATTTTCATTTCTTCGTACGATAATTTGAAAATCCTTATTATTAATCTGGGTTATTAAGGTACTCCAAATGATTTCACTTTTCTATAAATAGAGATGTGAGAATAAACCTGACTATAAAAAACACCCATGGGCAAATAAAAAGCATTTTTTTGTTGATTATGCTTTGCCCCAAATGTGTCACAGTGCTGTTCATAACTTACTCTAAAATACTTCCACATAAATCATGTGACATGCACGCAGGTTTGCTGCAATTTACAGCCTAGGGGTGGTTGGTTAACATCTGAAGTGCCCTATTCAGGAATATACTCTCCAGAGGGCTTTAGTTAGCATTCAAAAACTATAATTGGGTGTCCACTTCTAGAGAGGGTTTAACTATCACCTCCTTTAGTCAAAACCCCAGGATGTGCTAATTGGCACAAGGGATATTAGAAACCATTTTTCACTGGTGAAATGGAAGATGCCTAAGATATGTGGACGGGCAAACAATACCGTACAGGTGCAACCTACCCTTCTATTACTGGGGCATAAGATTCTATCGGGTTCAGCAGCTTAGTACTCTTTGAGATAGAGATTTTCTAGTTATACTTTGATTTCGAGAGAATCTCAAAACCTGATTGGGTTAGCTGAGTCCTGCCTGTAGAAGAGTCCATGCCAGAGGCCTTAAAGGACAGAGAGGTAGGACTTCATCAAGCTTCTAAGAACAAGCTGATGGCAAGCTGACTTAGGTCAGTTCTCAATTGTAGAAAAACTGCAGAGACAAAAACCTCTCTTCCCTGGAGCTGCTCTGCATTCCACCAGCAAGAGGAAACCATTCCATCAGAAATGCTCCAAATTCACTATAAGGTATTGAACCCATACTGTTTAAAATATTTATGGACAACTTACAAATTTAAAAAAGATTGTATTTTTACATCAGTTTAGAGAATAAAAATGGTCACCATAATATTTAGCCCTACTTTAACTTTCTTTTTTTTTTTTAATGTTTATTTATTTTGAGAGAGAGAGTGAGCACATGTAAGCAGGGGAGTAGCAGAGAGGGAGAAAGAGAATCTCAAGCAGGCTCTATGCTGTCAGCACAAAGCCTGACATGGTGCTCGATCCCATGAACCAAAAGATCACAACCCGAGCTGAAATCAAGAGTCAGACGCTTAACTGACTGAGTCACTCAGATGCCCTTTAACTTCTAATTGTATGTATCTTTAACCTATATTTAACGACCTACGTTTTCTCTAAACCAAAACCAAAACCAAAATCTGTTTTCATTTCTTCTGATAGACGTTGGTTTATTCTGGGTGTTATGCTAGGAGAGGTGAAACCAGTTTTAAGACTGTGCCCTCTTATCTGAGGCCATTAGAAACTGTTGTGTTGTAAATACAGAGCTGTTTCTGCACAGGGACTGTCAGAGTGCACCAGGACTACAGCTGTGACACACACTGTGTTTCCTAGGACAGTCCCCATGTCGACCTGGGTGCCCCAGAAGCAGCCAGACTTATAAATCTCTCCAGATTTATGGTTTTGAACATTGGTCACTGCAGCCATGTCTTGTGGCCTCGATGCTAGCGAAATTCAACCCACAGAAACAAGGAGGCTTCTTTAGAGCACTTCAAGGAGAGGAAGAGTGGCATATAAAGGAGTCTTTGTGGGCTGGGAATAAGTTAGTTTTTCATGAGTAAATTCATTCATCACCTAAAATGTTCCCAGAACTATGCTAGGTATTGGAGCAGCAACATCATAGGCTCCAAAAATAAGTTTAAAGCGGAAGACGTGGCTACTATCCTTCAGAAAATGAATAATCTGTTTTCATTTTATTCCTGGTCAGTGAAGGTCCAGGAAACAACTTCGGCTAACATGAAATGGGTAAATGATGGCAGAAAACGGCACAACAAATAAGGGAAAGATGTGCCTGAATTAGACTGACCTTGTCTAAGGGAGAACCTTGAAAATGGCTTTGATACGGTTACTCGGGCATGATAGGACCAGGGTACGTACAAATGCCCAGTATCGGGAATGAATTCTAGATAAATAGGAGGAACGTGTGGCTGGGCCGGGAGGAGGCATGGAGGAACAGTGGGGGGAGAGAGGGACAGAATTCTGAGGTGGAAAGAGCATGCCCCGCTCCCCACCTCTTTGTGGGCACACAACGCACTCTTGGTGGGCTTCCTCGCTTCCTCCTCCGTAGAAAAACTGGACAAAATGACCTGGATGTTTGGCTCCCAAACACCAAAACCTGCAGGACTGGGGTCAGTCCGGGATGACAGAGAAAAATGAGGACAAGATAGCAAGCTTTTTGTCAATCTAAATTTATTAAAGGACTGCCTTCATCTTGCAAGGTTAGCCTGCATGCTTTCCTTGGTATTAAAACGTCTTTCATTTTATGAAACAGTAGTGCAGTGGATCGACTTTTTAAATGGTCTCATTGGGCAAAATATGAGTTTGGTAACATGATACCTTGTGAAAAATCACTGCCCCCAATTGTAAAAAGGGGCTGGTCAGTGAAGGACCAGGAACAAAAACTTTGGATCAGAGGTTAATCAGCTTATAAGAGTTCCCCTCTGTGAAGCTTAACAAATGCCCCGGCCCAAGCCCCAGCCTCTCTTTCCTCGGGTCTAGCCTCCACCTGGCTCCTACGTGTTTTTCTGAAACGCAAACAGAACCTATTTGCTCCCATTTAAAAACCATTAGGTTTGAACATCTTTGAGTGACATCTGTGACCCCTCATAATTCAGCTCCCATCTCTCTATCCACCGCTTGTAACTCTTAATACACCCTGCACTCCTGCCTCGCCAGACTTTGCATTATTGCCTGTAAACGTTCCCACATCCTTGCCGTTGCCCATCTGGTTCCTCTGCCTGGGCTACCCTGCCTTCAACTGCTTTGCAAACTCCTATTTGTCTCTCCATGTCCAGTGTGTATCTTACTTTGAAATTTTCCTTAATTTGCCCCGCTCTTCCCAAAGAGTTAATTTCTCCCTCCTCCATGCTGTATGTGTGTATGTGTGAGAGAGGGATACTTTGCACTAACTTCCATGGCATTTATAAGGAGTATTTGTTTCTGTGTCATTTCCTCCTCCAGGGCTGTGACCAGCAAGCGCTTAGCTTGGTTTCTGAGCCTCAGATAGTTACCGAATTGAAATGCATTGTTTGATGCTGATTAGTATATGTGCTGCCGAAGCGAGCACTGTTTGATGCTGATTAAAGAGGAAGAATATTTGATATACACTGGATTTATAAATAAACGGTTACCTATATGGACTGAGTCTCTGATTTTCTAGAAGGCTCTCACTCGCCCTCAAATTCCTTCTGCACTGGCTCTCCTGTGCTTCAAAGGCCACCATGGGAGTTTCATTCCTTTGCTTAAAGCTTAGAATGGAAGCAGTTAGCAGATTCTTTCCTGAGCTCAGGTTCTGATGGAGGAAAGGATGGAGAGAGCTGGGAGTGAATGTGGGTGAGATTGGAAAGGGGCACTGGGAGGAAAAGAGTGCAGAAAGAGGCCTCTGAGGAGAGAGGCTGCATCCTCAGTTATCTCAGGATGGAGTTCCAGAGAGACTGGTTTTAGAAGCCCACCTGCTTGTATCCCTAATACTCAGGATGGGAACTGATGGGATAAATAGGGCACAGAGAACTTCCTATCTAGGAAAGGACGGTGAAGTTCAGGCGCCAGATCTGAGATGGCTGGAAATACTCACCAGATTCCAGGACAGAAAATCAGTGAGCGAGCGCCTAGGGGGCTGGGGAGCTGGGGGCAGGGGGTAGGCTCCGCCCGGAGATGTAAATCCAGGGAGCACTAGCTTAGCGTGTTGGCTGGGGTGGAGGAGCATGTGAAGCTGAAGGAGGAGAGATGATGAGGCTGTCTGCGAGGTCAAGGCCAGAGCTCGGTTTTCCGAGGCCAAGGACGGGCGCACCCTGGGATGGAGGACTTTGCCTTATGGGGACCTCCTCCCTCTGCGCCCCCGGCGGCAGGGATTCTGCAGCCTGCCTCTGACTCGGACCTGGGGCACTGGAGAAACTTTTCCAGACTTGCTTGGTGCCGCGACCGGATACGTTCAGGACACAAGGCAGTCTCCGCGGAGGTTCAGGCCGGCCGAGGGGGCAGACCCCGAGCGCGGGCGTGTGGGTGTGTGCATGAGCGTGGACCCGGAGCGACACACACTCACACACACACACTCACACGCCCGCACCCACGCAGGGCCCTCGGCCGCGCCTCCCGCGCCTCCCCAGACCTTCACCCCCCGAGTCCGGTCCTCCCGGGTCCCGCGCGCGGTGCCAAGTCCCTGTCGATGGCTTCTCACTAAGGCGGTGGGCAGGAGCTGGGGACCAGGACAAGGAGACACGTCAGGGTCTCCCCACCACCCACCTGCGGCTGTCCTCGCACTCCCCCGCCCGCCCGGGGAAGGGGAACGCGGAGAGGGTGCCCGGGGCTCTTACCGCTCCGGCCGCCGAGTGCGCGCGGGAGCGCCGGGCGGGTCCCGCCCCGCCACGTCGGCAGGGCCGGCGGGGACGCGGCCGGAGGGCGGGCCGGGAGGGGGGACCCAGGGGCGGCCGGCCGAGCTGCCCCGCCCCGCGCCCGGCCCAGGAGGAGCCCCGCCCCCCGCGCCGCCAGCCCAGGAGCCCGAGCGCCCCCGGGGCGCGCAGCGCCCTCTTCCGCCAGGCTGGGGTCCTCCGCGGGTAACTAAGCTTTTCCAGCTCTGTGCCCGCGGGAGGACCCGGAGGGCGCCCGCTCCCGCCTTGGGCGGGACTTGGGGTTCAGCGCGTTCATTTGCTTCCTTTAAAAGCGCCGGGAAAACCCTGCGGGCAGTTTCCCCAGGAAGGGGTCGCTCAAGTTCGGCCAGGGTTTTCGTTGCCTCGACTGTGAGTTAAACAGCGTGCCCTTACCTTGTCTGTGGGAGTGTAATCTGATTTAAAATCAGCCAGCTGAACAAAAACACTAATTGTTAAAAAAAATATTAAGTGTAGGGCAGGGGAAATTTATGTGTAGTGTATACAAGTATACACTATACAAGTGTTACGTATAGTATAATCATTTTCTTGTAAATATATATGTATACGTTTATATTTTGTAGAAGTTAGGGACAATACAGCTTTAAAAACAGCGATTCGTTCTGAGTTCTGCAATTGTGTTAGCAAATTTTGTTCGAAAGGTGTGACAGGTGTGTCTTGGTGTACCATGGACACAAACCCCATGCCTGTGACCTCTGCTCCTGCCTAAGGACGGCAAGCAAGAGCCTTTGCCACACCGGCTCTCCCTGCTGCGCTGAATGGCAGTCACACGAACAGACATTCTGTCGTCAGGGCTGGTGTTCTTTTCTACTTTGACCCAAACCACACCTTTCCAATAAAAGAATATGGAGCAAGTAACTCCAGCAACAGGTTTTGTTGCTGACTGCAAATTATGCCCTTTTACTGAAAAGCCCACCAGGTTTTTTATTGCAAAAACTGTTATTTTTTTTTTTTTGCAACTTACAATTTTTTAATTCGTTTAAAATATTCGGGAGTATTAAAGAATAAAATACTCTTTAAAACATACAGGAAAGCAGAGAATCATATGACAAATACTTATTTGTATAAGAAAAAAGTAGATACTATTATGACTATATGAAGATTGAATAACTTTTCTGCTTTGCCATGTTTATTTTAGAACATTCTTTTATTTATTATTTTTTAAAGTTTATTTAGAGAGAGAGAGAGAAAGGCAGTGAGAGGAAGAGAGAGAATCCCAAGGAGGTTCCTCAATGTCAGCTCAGAGCCTGATGCAGGACTCAAGCTCACCAACTGTGAAGTCATGGCCTGAGCTGAAAACCAAGAGTTGGACATTTAAGGGATTGAGCCACCCATGTACCCCTAGAATCTTCTTTTAAAAGAAAAAAATGTTGGGGCACCTGGGTGGCTTAGTTGGTTAGGCGTCCGACTTTCGCTTAGGTCATGATCTCGCGGTTCGTGGGTTCGAGCCCCGCGTCGGGCTCTGTGCTGACTGCCAGCTCAGAGCCTGGAGCCTGTTTCAGCCTGTGACTCCCTCTCTCTCTGACCCTCCCCTGCTCACGCTGTCTCTCTCTCTCTCTCCTAAAAATAAATAAAACATTTAAAAAAAATTTTTAAAAGAAAAAAATGTTAAAAGATATGTTTGAAGTCTTTTCCCTTCTATTCTTCACCTTCCCCGGAGGTAACCACTATCCTCCAGCCTGTTGTAGGTCTTCCCACCCATATTTCTATACTTTTACTGCTCATCTCTTGATCTGCATATACTATACAGAATTGTTTTTCAGTGTTTTAAAACTGTATAAATAACATCCTATACAACATTATATTTTTGAGGATCATTTATGTAGATCCAGTACATTCATTTTAAAGTCCTAGGATTCCACTATATGATTATCCACAATTTATCAATTCCCCAATTGATGGATATTTAGCGTATTTCACGTTTCACTATTACACATAGTGCTGCAAATGGCCTCCTTTGCTGTCTTATATTCCAGGCTAGAAATGGAATAGCCTGGTCACCTTTATTAGATATTTGAAATTATACTCCAAACTGGTTCAACTGGGGGAAACGGAAGGACTCCATAAAAATCTGCCTTTTGCTTTTTTTCTTGCTTCTATTCTTTCTAGCACTTACACTCATACATGTTCCTCAGAGTACAAATAATGCATGTCCTCCTTGTAAGGGATAAGGAGTTAATGATTTCTTTAGTCTTCCAACATAACAGGTAAGATCTAAGAAAGGAGTAAGAGAATGACTGGATAAATCCATCATGTGCATATCCTAGACCATTGGTGCTAGACATCTCAATGCCAAGACTTCCTTTGGCTCCAAGGAATAGGTGAGTTATGGTGGATAACTGGACACTTGTCTTTCTTCTAACCAGTTCTTGGATGCCTGAGAGGATACATACACCAGACCACAATCCTCAGTAAAAACTCCAGACCAGGAACAAAGAAGAGACTTTCTTTCCATTTCCTCTCTGAGTCTTCCAGATGTTCTATCTGTATGTGCACTCTCTCTATATCTTCAATAAACTCTCACTCCCTCCTGGCTATTTCTATCTGGTGTGTAGCCAAGGACCCTCTTGGCTGGTCCTGTGGGACCTCCTCTGGGTCCTTGGCCCCAACCTGCCTACATCACAACCTAAACAAAACTTTTTTTGAGTATGTGCTTTATACCTAGATCTGCTCTAGATGCTAGGCATACATTAAGGAGTAAAGCAAAGTCCTCCTCTCAAAGAACTTACATTCTGTTGAAAGGGAGATAGACTCGAACAAGATAACATATCAGGTGGTGGCATAAAGCCGTATACAGTGTCCAGAGGTCTAGAGTATCACCAGTGGGAACAACCATGGTCAGGGAAGGTCTTGACAATAAAGTGACATTTCAGTGTAGACTTTAAGGAAGTAAGGGAGTGAACAATGGTGATATGTGGGGACAGTTTCAGGCAGAGAGGACTGCAAGAGCAGTGCTGGGACATGCTTGGTGCACTCAGAGAATGGCAATGTGGCCAGGGTGCCTGGGGCAGAGGGAGGATGGGGCAGAGTGGAAGGAATGAGGCCATCGAGATAGTGAAGTTTTAAGAGATGAGGCAGACGAGGCAGTGAGTGTCTTGCAAACCATAATAGGGATTTTGGCTTATACTTTGAGTGAGAAGAGAATCCCTACAGACTTTGAGTAGGAGTGTGCCATGATTCTAGTGTCTGATTGTAACTGGGTTGGGATAGGGTAAAGTTTGGTGGGTGGAAGGAAGAGCAGAAGTAGACAGACCAGCTAGGAGGTCATTACAGTTATCTGTGTGAGAGATGTCTATGGTTTTGGCCACCATGGGAGTGGTGGAGGGCATGAGGGATGTTTTGCTTATGGAGACATTTCAAAGAAAAACCCAACCAAATTTGCTCAAGGATTGGACGTGGACTTGGAGGAAAAGAAAGAAGTCATACATTAGTCCAAGGGTTTTGACCTGAATGACTGCAAAAATAGAAGTGTCACTTATTGAGATCAGGAAGGATACAAAAGGGACAGGTTTGAAGTTTGAGGTGAGGATTCAAGCACTTGATTTGCAATAAGAAAAGCTTAGCAAATGTTTAGCAGGCAGTTGGGTGCAAGAGTCTGGAGTTCAGGGGAGAAGTCTGGGCTGGAATAGTAACTGGGGAATCATCAGTAAATCAATAGTTTTGAAGCTATGAACCAGGATGAGAATGCCCAGAGTTGCAGAAGAGAAGAGGTCCAGGACTGAGTCTTGGCTGTGCCAAGTCAGAGAGATAAGGAAAACTCAGAAGGAGACTGGGAAGGAATGCAGTGATTTAGCAGGAAGTTGGGAGGGAGGTGTATGGGGGTGGCAATGGAAGAGGGGATTATGGGGTCCCAGAAGCCAAGTAAGAAAACTTTTCGAGATTTTTTAACTATGTTAAATACTGCTGATAGTTCTCATGAAAACTAAGAATCGGTCAATCCAGTTGAAAATCGGACTCGGCAATGTGGACATCGTTGGTGGCCTTAACAAGAATGATTTCTTTGGAGTGGTAGAGAAAGAAACCTGCTTGGACTAGGCTTGAGAGAAAGGAAGGAGACTATTTAGAGACAGTGAGTAAGAGAACTCTTTCAAGGAGTTTGGAGTAAAGGGGAGCAAAGATGAAGAGATTGAGGGTTCAAATATGAGAGAAGTTGTAGCATTATATGCTAATTAGAACCATACATTAGAGCAAAAAAAAAATGATGATGTAGTAGAGAAAAGATCATTGCAAGAGTGAGAGAGTGATTTCCTTGAGTGGACAAGCAGGGACGGAAGTCAGTGCTCAATGGGGAGGAAGCTTTTGACTGAGTTCATTCAGGAGAACAAAGGAATACACATACAAGTTCGCTGGTAGAGTCTTGGGGGAGGTTGTGGAAAGCTTTTCTGGTTGTTTTGCTTTTCTGCATGAAAAATGAAGCATCATCAGCTGAGATAGAGGAAAGAAAGGGGGTGTTGGCAGAATAAGAGAGGAAAGGAGGTATAAGGGAGAGTAGACAGGTTCAGGAAGGGGGTAGATAGGGTAGTAGGATCGGTGCTCTCTCTTGAGGTTGGGACCCAGTCATGAATTTCAAGTAAAACAGTCAGCGTGGGTATTTTCTTCAACGGCATTGAGCTGCTCAGGCTCCATGCAGTCCAGTGGTGCGTTGGATTTAACCTGGGTAGAGGAGAGTGGTGTAAGGTAGCTGAGGGTGAATGCAGAGAGATCGTTAAAAGGACGGATCATGAGCTTCCAGTCCAGTGCAGTGGGGCTGAGGAATTGTTGGCAGCAGAGGGAGAGAATTGGAGATCATAGCTGGAGAGTGGGATGCCGGCGATTGAGATTATAGAGCAGGTACAGCCATCGGCAATAATAATATCTAGGGTGGGGCGCCTGGGTGGTTCAGTCGGTTAAGCGTCCGACTTCACCTCAGGTCATGATCTCACAGTTCTTGGGTTCGAGCCCCGCGTCGGGCTCTGTGCTGACCCCTAGCTCAGAGCCTGGAGCCTGTCTTCAGATTCTGTGTCTCCCTCTCTCTCTGACCCTCCCCTGTTCACGCTGCCTCTCTCTCTCTCTCTCTCTCTCTCTCAGAAAGAAATAAAACAATTTTTTTAAAAAAATAATAATATCTAGGATATAATGAGGAAGTGCATGGCCAAGGTAGGTTGCAGTGTAAGATCATTAGCAGAGAGAGTATCAAAGAACTAAGAAGAGAGGGGTAATGAAAGTATCTCTACGTAGCTAATTGAAGTCACTAGAATTATGGCAGGGTTGGTGTTGTACTTGGACAGTGGGCAGTGCTGAAATACTCAATGAATGAAGGAACGATAGGCCTCTATGGGTGATTGCAACCAGGACGGGTAGGTTTCAAAGGCTGATCTGGAAATAGCAGTGAGTGTCAAGGGCACCTACATCATCTCCAGGCTCTGAAGTGTGAGGGGTGCAGTTGAGGAAAATAGGGACCACTAGAGGGCGATGTGTTTAGAATGATATTTACATCTGAGTGCCGTTTGATCCTTCCAAACTGGATCACCTGGAGACCTTTTAAAATAATGCCGATGCTGAAATAAGTCAGGCAGAGAAGGACAGATACCACATGTTTGCACTTATAGGAGGATTAGGAGGAACTTAACGGAGGACCGTGGGGGAGAAGAAGGGGAAAAATAGTGGAGAAGGAGGGAGGCAAAGCATGAGAGACCCTTGAATGCCGAAAACAAACTGAGGGCAGATGGGGGAGGGAGGAGAAGGGGGGTGATGGGCATGGAGGAGGGCACTTGTGGGGGTGAGCACTGGGTGTTATATGGGAACCAACTTGACAATAAACGATTTAAAAAATAAATAAATAAAAATAAAATAAAACAAAACAAAAATAATGCTGATGCTTGGTGCCATCCCAGACCACTTAAGTCAGTCTCTGAACATGTATGAGAGTTCCTGTTTCCTCATGTTCTGACCAACGTTTGGTATTAGATGTTTGAATGTTTGTCCATCTGAGGTGTGTATAATGGTGTCTCCTGGTTGTCTTGTTTTGTCTTTTCCCATATTATAATAAGGTTGCATTCCTTACCATATGTTTGATCTATTTCTTTTTACTTTCCTATTACTATCCGTTTATATCTTTGCTAATTTCCCACCATGGGGTTTATTATTCATTTTCCTATTGGTTTGTAAGAATTCCTTATATATTTTGGATACTAATTTTTTTGTGGTTATATGTGTTGCAAATAATTTTCCTAGAATGTGACTTGTCTTTTTTTAACTTCAGCCTATTTAGATTTTAATACCAACATTAAAGTTATCAGTTTCATTTTTAGTGGTTTGTATATGTTATGATACAATTTTCATGTAACTTGTTTTTAAAACTGTTGATGGGGGTGTCTGGGTGGCTCAGTCAGTTAGGTGTCCAACTTCATCTCAGGTCACGATCTCGTGGGTCATGAGTTTGAGCCCGGCATCGGGCTGTCTGCTCTCAGCACAGAGCCCACTTGGGATCATCTGTCCCCCACTCTCTGTGCCCCTCTCCCCCTCACACTTGTGTGCGCTCTGTTTCTCTCTCTCTCAAAAATAAATAAGCATTAAAAAAAATTTAAGTTGTTGGTAGAAACAAGTATTCATTGATTGATTTATCCAGGGAAAGGAAAGGCATTTTTGTAAAAGGTAAAATTCATCAAAATAATGTTTTGCTTCTCTCTGTATTGAGGTAGTATATCTGCCACTCTTAGACTGTTATTTTACCTATTCCACTATGTTTTTAAAAAAACAAAACTAATGCATGTACATAGTAAAAAGAAATTCAAAAGGGACAAAAGAGCATAAGTGGTAAATAAGAAGCTCGCTCTCCCTTGATTCTTCTGCTCTCAGGTAACAATTTCTTAAGTATCCTCTCCAAAAAAAAATATTTTTATGCATATATCAGCATAGGTATGTAGATCCTTGTGTTAGTTTCCTGTGGCTATCATAACAAATGATATTTGCGGGAGCAAAACTGGGTGGCTTAAAACAGAGATTCATTCTCTCACAGTTCTGGAGGCCAGAAGTCCAAAATCAAGGTGTTGACATGGGCTCCTGGTTTCTGATGCAAAACTCCAATCTGCCCATTTTCTAGCCTGCTTCTCTCTCTCTCTCTCTCTCTCTCCTCTGTGTGTCTCTTAAGGACAGGTGGTATCTTGGAAGGCAGCCTGGGGTAGTGCTGAAGCACACAGATGCTGGGGCTGGACTGCATCTGGGTTCAAACCCTGGCCCCACCACTGACCAGCACAACTTTGGACAGTTACCTGATTGCTCCACCCCCCGTTTAAGTGAGGATAATGATAGTACTTACAACATCTTTATGAGGGCTAAGCGAGTTAATATTTGTAAAGCACTCGGAACAATGCCTGGCAAAGAGATAACCTAAGTAAATAGATCAGATTTTATGAAAATGATACCACCCTTCTGCACCTTGCTTTTCTTCACTTAATAGTATATCCTGAAGTGTTTTCCTCTCAATAAGTAAAAATGTAAGGCTTGTATAGAATTCCAGAGTTCCTTAGTATAATAACTTCTCTTCTGTGTTCACTGTTTCAGCCACCTTATATTCATTATCTTCTCTAAAAATCACAACTACTCCCATTTTGGATAAATAAATGGAGTCTTTGTGAGGTTAAGTAATTTGCCCAAGACCACATAGCTAGTAGTCGGCATTGTGTGTTCAGCCCAGTACGGTCTGTTCCTCTACCATCCTGCCTCCCATATTACCTGACTTCTGTGGGTTTTGTCATCCATCTCCTTAAAGACTTTCTCAGAATTACAACAGCCTCAACAAGAATAGTGTCCTTGTTTCCGAAAAGCAGCATTATGAAATGTCCTAACGAGGGTTGGTTAAGTCATTGTGCAACGTGACCACAAATTTGCAGTGATGTATCTGTGTGTGCACACATGTGTGTATTAATACGTGTGTATGTTTTCTTCAAGGCTTTAGTCCAATGTTGCTTGAAACTCCCTCAAAACCCCAGCTGGCCCCTTTCTCCTCTGCCTGTTGCACAAAGCTGGTTTCCAGTGTCACAGATACCCGCTACTCCCAGCTGTTTCCTTGGGCTGGTCCATCAGAGACCCATCCACTCCTTGCTGACCCTTCCCAGACCGGAGAAGACTTCCTGTTTTGTTTGATGAGTAAGGATGAATAGTTAGAAGCTGTGCTTTCCTTCCTCGCAAAAGCAGAAGTGATTCTTATTCAAATGTCTCACTTTGTTATGGGTCAGACCGTAGGATCTTAATTTGTTTTCTGTATAGGTGAGGTAATGCCAGACAGTGATTATAGAATGACTATTTAACTCATATGTTCAGTTCTTTACAGAGTCTTGATTAAGTGGAAAGTCTCGGGAATTGAATATCCTGGCTGCCTGAAGTATCTGGTTAACCAGACACCTTTTCGTATTAACCTTGGTTGATTGGTCTAAAATTATTCTAGGGGCGCCTGGATGACTCAGTCGGTTAAGCGTCCGACTTCAGCTCAGGTCATGATCTCATGGTTCGTGGATTCGGGCCCTGTCTGGGTCGGTGCTGACTGCCAGCTAAAGCCTGGAGCCTGTTTCAGATTCTGTATCTCCCTCTCTCTCTGACCCTCTCCTGCTCACGCTGTCTCTCTTTCTCTCTCAGAAATAAATAAAACATTTAAAAAATTTTAAAACTTTATTCTAAATGGCCTTTAGAAAATTGATTTTTAGTCCTGCAGCATCTCAGTGGTATTTATTATTCTAGAATTAAGAATTAATGCATTTAATAATAGAAAATGTTGGGGGTGCCTGGGTGGCTCAGTTGGTTAAGCATCTGACTCTTGACTTCAGCTCAGTACATGATCTCAGTTTGTGAGTTTGAGTCCTGTGTCAGGCTTTCCTTGAAAGTTAACTTTTTAAAAAAAACAAATCTTGGACCTAAGCTTATTCCGCTTTAGAATATCTCATCCGGCTAAAACACTGCTCCAAAATTGCTTGACAATGGTGGGTTGCAATAATTTTGGAAACGTTAAATATCCTGATAACAAAAAACAGACCCTGTTCAATAACTTTCTCCTCTGGTGACAAGTTAACGTTTTGGCTGGAAACTTTGCAGATAAACATTACCTTAGAAAAAGCATTTTTTCTTCACACTGAAGTTGTCCTAAGCCTCGTGCTCATATGAATTTAAAAATTGGCTTACTGTTTCAGTCAGTAGCTCAAACAAACCTGCTGAGCCACATGCTTTTCACATAACTTTTCAAAGGGAAATTCCTGTCTGGGAAGTAATTCCAGGAAGGTCCAACAGATGGCAGAAAACCGTTTCTATGGCCCCGCGCTACTTCCACAAAGGACTTGCAGTTTGTCAAGCACTTTTATCGTCCAGAGCACTTCGAAGTTACTTTCTCTTCTGAGAAGGAAACACCTTGGTGAGTAAGAAGGCTTTTACGGCTTTTTCAATTTGTGGCATAATTCAAATATGCAGGAAAATGCCAATGATTATATAGGAAACAGGTAATAAAAAATGTTTCTTTGAAATTTTTGCAAGCTGATTTTAGGTGTCTTTTTAAAAATGTTATGAAGGTCCTTGGAGTTTACAAGATGGATAAAAAGTAGGGTGTTTTTATGGCTGCCTCGAAAAGATATAAAAATCACTAGCACTCTAGCCATAGGTCAGGAAAAAACAGGATGTTATTTCTTCTGTTTTCATCTACGTTTCTCTTCACCTGTCTTGCTCGCTCTCAGCAACATGCGCAGCAGTTTCTGCCACTCCACAGTTTATGTATTTTTATAGTAGGCAAAGGTGTTTGATCCCCCCTGTCACAAGGCACGGTAATTGTTCCTTGGTCTCTGTCACTAATGTAGAAGCGTTTTGAAAGCAGTGCTGTTCAGTTCTCTCCCTGGCTCCTGCCCCAGGGCACAGTGCTGGTCCGTAGTGAGCTCTGAACAAACGTTTATTAGATGGCACGTAGTGCGCTCTGAATAAACATTTATTAAATGGAGGAAGTGGCAGGACTGGGTCTAGCACCGAATTCTTCCAGGTCTCTTACCTCAGTGTTGACACATAATGTATTTTCTTTCGGGCGTATTTGCTAACTTGACTATGGACTCACACTTACCCTCACTTAATATTTTTTCATCTTGTCTTTTTCGTAGTCCTGATTTTCATAGATCCTATCCACCATAGTTTTTCCCCCTTGAAACACAGCATCTTCCATCTGTCTTTTTTTCTCTCTCTTTTTATGTGATGCATTAAAGAAAAAGAAACTTTTACCTATTTTCTTTTTTTACTTCCTTTTAAAGCAATTGATGAACTCTCTGAACTCCTGCTCCCTTTTCTCCCCTCTGCTTTATTTTTCATAAATAGAAAAGCTCCTGGCTGGCTTGCTAAGTGTATACATGAGAAGCCACTGGAGGATATACATGCCTTTGGAGGAATATTTGTGTTTGGGGGGCAGGATGCTCTCAGGGTAGCTGGTCAGCTTTCCTACGTGGTGGCTATGTTTCAGTCCCCTGAATACAGACCCCATGGAGGGACCTCTGGGTGGGTTCCAATCCACAGCGTCAACTACTTAGCGTTGTGTGGAAGAAGTTCTGTGTATATATTGAAATCCCAAATAATATAAGCGTGCTTCTTTAAATAGAAAATATTTTTACATTAGCTATATTTTGAGACAGATCTTTTGAGTTAAAAAAGTTCAAAATGAAAAATTTTGCAAATATATACAAAAGTATAAGAAAGAAAATTAAATGTAGCTATGATTCAGAGATCCAGAAATAATGATTATTAGCATCTGATAGATTTCTTCCCATCCTCTTTTTCCCTAGGCTTTGTGTATTTTGTCAGGTTTTAATCACATTTTACAAAATTAGACCCTCCTACGTGTACACCTTTGTATTCTCTTACTGACTTAACATTATATTATTTATAATTTATATTTAAATAAATATAAAAATTATATTTATATAATATATTACTTTAAAAGTGCAATATTTGAGGCTGCTTGCTATCCCATGTTATAGGTATAATCATTGGTTAAACCATTTTCTACACTAATCTTTATCATTTTTTTTCAATATCTCATCATGTGAGGAGTGTTTTCATAGGAATATTTTTAGGTATATTTCTGATAATTCCTTTAGAAGAAAATTCTGAAAAGTGGGATTGCTAAAATAAGGGTAAGCATGTTTTAAAAGAATTTATATATGTGACCAAATCGCCCTTCAGAAAGGTTGTACTAATTTTTCAGTTCTGCCAGTAGTAAACAAGAGTTCTTATTTTAGTCTCACTTGCCAACACTGGCTGTTATATTTTTGAATATTTCAAATTTGGCAGATAAAAATAATAATACCTCTTTTTTAAACCTTTAAGAAATAAAAATTCCCATTTGATTCACTTTATCTTTTTATGGTTAAAAATCTTAAATTATAGACATCCTAACATTCCATCTGTAAATGCTTCATTTTATATCTCTAAAAGAAGTACATTTTCCTACATGGCCGAAGAACATTATAAAAAATTAACATTTATTATTTTTTAATAGAATTTAATACTGGGTCCATCTTAAAATCCTTTCTCCCCTTGTTACTCAAGTAACTTCTTTGCTGGGTCTGCCTAAACTGATATTCAATCCAAGATAATGATTCATCTAGATATTACATCCTGTTTTGTTTTAACGTACATTTTAAAAAATTGAAGTATAGTTGATATACAATGTTACATTAGTTTTAGGCATACAACATAGTGATTCAACAAGTCTAAATGTTAGGCTATACTCACTATAAGTGTAGTTACCATCTGTCACCGTAAAACCCTTTTATAATAACATTGACTATATTTTCTAAGCTGTACCTGTTATCACCTTGACTTATTCGTTCCCTAACTGGAAGACTGTACTTCCCACTCCACTTCACCCATTTTGCCCATCCCCCCACCATCAGTTTGTTCTCTGTATTTACGGGTCTGTTTTATGCTTTTTGTTTGTTTATTCATTTGTTTTGTTTTTTAGAGTCCACATATAAGTGAAATCGTATGATATGTAACTTTCCCTGTCTGATTTACTTCACTGAGCATTATAGGTCCATTCGTGTTGTTGCAAGTGGCAAGTAATAATTATGGTTGAGTCACATTCCATTGTATAAATATACCACATCTTCTTTATCCATTCACATATGGTTGGATGCTTGAGTTGCTTCTATATCTTGGCTTTTGTAAATAATGCTGCAATAAGCATAGACTGCATTTTTATTTTTTGTGAGATTGGGCATAATTCATATTATTAACTATTGATTTTTAATTTTTGGTAAATTTTCTGAGCAAATAATGTGTTCTTAATTTTGATTGTTGAAAATTTGAAAAATACAAGTAACAGCTAAGAGGAAAATAAAATCCCTTTATAATTTTACCATGTAGAGATAATTACTATTAATATCTTGGTATGTATCTTAATTTTCCCACATATATCTATACATATTTATTGCTACACATTAAAAAAAATAAACTTTATGTTACTTACATAAAGATAGTAAGCAATTTCCCATGGAATTAGGTTTTCATTATTTTTAAAGGCCACGTAGTCATATTTAGTTATATGGAGATAGTCATAATTTATTTGACAACTCACTATTTTTAGACAATTAGATTTCTTTTTCAAAAAATATCTTATTTTGTACTGGCTGCTTTATCATACTCTTTTACTGGTTCAACAGTTTTTTAATTACTTCTCTTGGATTTTATAGACTATCACATAATCTAAAAAGAGTGATATTTCTATTTTCTGCATTCCATATTTCTGTCTCTCATTCCCCTCTCACCTTAATTGCAATGACTACAACCTCTAGAACAGTGTTAAATAGCAGTGGCCATCTTTGACATTGAATGTAACAGAAATGCCTTTAAGTTAAATACTTAATATATTTTTCATCAAGCTTTAAATTATCTTTTTATTTATTTGTTTGTTTGTTTATTTATTCAAGAGAGAATAAGAGAGAGACAGAAGAGCATGAGTGGGCCAGGGGCAGAGAGTGAGGGAGACACAGAATCCCAAGCAGGTTCCAGGCTCTGAGCTGTCAGCACAGAGCCCTATGCGGGGCTCAAATTCATGAACCCTGAAATCATGACCTGAGACAAAGTTAGATGCTCAACCAACTGAGCCACCCAGGTGCCCTCCCCATTTTTTCTTTTTGATTTTTTTTAATGTTTATTTTTGAGAGAGAGAGAGAGACCTAATGTGAGTCGGGGAGGGACAAAGAGAGAGGGAGACACAGAATCCAGAGCAGGCTCCAGGTTCTGAGATGTCAGCACAGAGCCCAAGGGAGAACCCCAAACTCACAAACCCCTAGATCATTATTTGAGCTGAAGTCAGATGCTTAACCCACTGAGCCACCCAGGCACCCCTCAAAGTATCTTTTCAGTATCTACTTTAATTAAAGTTATATATTTGGTCAAAGATGAATGCTAAATTTAAAAAGTGAATTTTTAATATCCATGGAGATGCTCATCTGTTCTCCTTTTATCTATTGATATATTATTGTCATAGATTTTCTAATAATATGCCATTCTTACTTATTAGAAACATATTAATTAATCATAATGTGCTATTCCTTCAGTATAGAGCTAGATGGATTAGGGTTTCTTTATTCTAAGCTTCTCACCACCCTCAAATGATTGGAGTTTACCTCTTTTAATTGTATTTTCCAATAATTACTCTTAATTTTATAATATACATACTTAAACTTATATTTTTCTTGAATTAACTGGTCTCTATCTATAGATTCTCCTCAGTCAGGCAAGGATCATAACATGCTTTTAGTTCACTCTCTTCCTCTCCCCCACTGTCCACTAATTCCCTTGCAATTGTTGGCATTTTTTTTTTTTAAATGTATACTTTAATAAGTATATAAACAATTAGGTAAGCTTGTAAAGAAGCCGACCAACATATATATATTAGGAGATATAAGTGTCCATCTAAATGTTCTATTTCTTTTTTTTTTAAGAGTATTTATTCAAGTTGTTTAATGTATAATTTCTCATGTGCCAGTTTGGAAGTCCTTTATTGTAAAGACTATTCTTTTGTCTGATGACAAACAGCAGCCACATTGTCAGTGATTACTCTGGACCTCCACGTTGGATATATTCAATTTCTTCTTGAGACACAAGCTTCCTTCTGTATTTCTGAGGTAATGTTTTTATAATTTCTGCAGTGTCTGGTGGACCCTGATGCATCAGCAAATCTGGTGATTTACTTCCCTTAGAATGCTGTGAAATTGAAGAAGAGTGAGATGGTAGTCTTGCTGATCTCAAAACTTCTGATACATTGGGTTTAGGATTGTCTCTTCTGTCAGGGAACCTTATTAATGGAGTATGTGGCTTGACTACCTGAACGACCCTGCTGGCAGACGCCATCTTGCTGCCCATCATGACCCCCAATTGTTGGCATTTTTAGTTCTAGATTGTTATTGAAATTTTTGTCATCAATACTTATTGGAATTTAGCAATAAATTTTCCTACTTTCCTTGCAAAATATTCCTTCTCACATCCCTGTTATTGCTTTTTGGGGGATGGGGTGATAAAGTTATCAGCTTATTTTTCAGAGGATACTCTATCCTCTGGTAATTTAGATGGTGGATCTGTCTTCCATGTCTTTTAGTATTTCTTTCATATTCCATCTCTTATGCTTCTTGTGCTGTGTTCTGGGAAAATTCCTCTCTGGATGTTCTATCTCACTAATTCTCACATCAGCATTGCCACACTGCAATTCAACTCATATAATGAGGCTTCCATTTTAATTATTAAGTTTTAATTTCCATGATTCCTACTCCATTCTTTTTTTAAGAATTCTTATCTCTCTCTGAGGATATCTATTATCAATGGCAATTATGCTCTTTTATCTGTTTCCTTGGGTGTTAACCTCTCTTATATCTTGAGTTTGATTCCTTTCTATTATGGTGTTTGCTTTGTAAGTGCCATGGGCTTTTATATTGTGGAACCTAAAATGTGGTTGAGGCTCCATATCAAACTGCTTGTTGATCTGTTTTCACAGCCTATTTATCAAGAGGGTGAACCAAAGTAGTCTATATTAATTTTAAATTGCTGCTATAGCAAATTACCACAAACCTAGTGGCCAAAAAACAGATTTATTACCTTACAGCTCTATAAGTTAGTACTCCAACGTAAGTTTTTGGTCTTACGTAAAGATGTTGACAAGATTACATTTCTTATGGAGGCTCTAGAAAAGAACGTATTTACTTCCTTTTTTGAGCTACTGAATGCTGTCTGCATTTCTTGGCTCATGGCACCTTCCTCAGGGCAACTCAATTTCTTCTTACATCATATCACTCTGACCTCTTCTTCTGCCTCCCTGTTCAGTTTTTAAGGACACTTGTGACTACACTGATGCCACCTGAATAATCCAGGATAACCCTCTTACTTTAAGATCAGCAGATTAATAAATTTAATTCAATCTTCAACTTGAGTTCCCTTTTTCCATGTAATAGAATATTCACAAGTTCTGGGATTAGGAGGTTAGTATCTTTTGGAAGCTAGTCCTCTATCATAGTCCAGTCTGCTTGTGGATTTCAGAGACTTTTCTTGTCTTCAGGTCCCCCAAAGACTTTTCTTCCTTTCTTTTCTTTCTATGTGTGTGTATTTTTTCCACCATCATTCTGGGGATTTAGAGCAGAGGAGGAGATTAGAGTATGTGCATATCACCCTGTTGACTCAATTTTTAATGTTTGCAATTGAAAACATAATTTTTTTTTTGATCCAGAAAATGTTTAGGACATTTAAAAAGTGGTTTAAAAGGTTTATTTTGGGGATGCCTGAGTGGCTCAGTCAGTTAAGTGTCTGACTCTTGGTTTCAGCTCAGGTCATGATCTCATGGTTTGTGGGTTCTAGCCCCACACGAAGCTCTGTGCTGACAGTGTGGAGACTGTTTGAGATTCTCTCTTTCCTCTCTTTCTGCCCGTCCCCTGCTTACTCTGCCTCTCCTTCAAAATGACTTTGACAATTTCTGCTTTGGGGTGTTTATTAAAAAATTTATTTGACTTAAGAATCAATATTAGTAAATGCTGCATGAAACCTGGGGATTTAGATATAAAATATTCTTTTTTTTATAGGGTCTAAGTCTCTATTAAATCCTTTATTATTTCATTCAAATCTTCCTATGTTTATCTTATGCTGTTTGATCTAATTGTAACCCAAAGAAATGCATTACATGTTTTCACCTTCAAACATCTCTGTGTTTTTAGCATTATTACTTTGTAAATTTTGATCCAGTTATTCACTGAGTAAGTATTCTTATCTGTTATATTTTCATTGTGGGCTGTTTGTTTTAACCCGTATGAAGTAGTAGTCTCTTTTATCCTCATTGCCCAAGTGTCTGATACTTTGACCTAATGGAGAATTATATATAAAAACTGTAATTCCTGATGAATACAGCCACCTAGTGTTCTTATCTTAAACCTCTTTACAAGTATTGTATGACTTACACATCTCAGAATGTAATATGCACCCTCAAATCCCTCCCTGCCTCTTTTTCCCCAGTTTTATTGAGATATCAATAACACATAACACTATAAGTTTAAGGTCTGCAATGTGATAATCATATATTATGATTATATATGTGTGTGTGTGTATATATATGTATGTATGTATGTATATATGTATGTATGTATATGTCTCAAAATGGTCAACATAACATTAGTTAACACATCTGTCACCTCATACAATGATCTTTTATTTTTGGTTTTAGAAACTCTCTTAGAAACTCTCAAGTACATAATACCCTACTGTTAACTATAATCACCAGGCTGCACATTAGATCCTCAGAACTCATTCATCTTATATCTGGAAGTTTGTACCCTTTGACCAACATCTCATTTCCCCTGTCTCCCAGACCTTGGCAACCCCTTTCTACTATCTGTTTCTATCTGTTTGGCTTTTTTAGATTCTACATATAAGTGAGATCATACGGTATTTATTTTTCTCTGACTTTATTTCACTTAGCCTCATGTCCTTAAGGTCTATCCATGTTGTCACAAATGGGAGAATATCCTTATTTTAAGGGCTAACCAATATTCCATTATATCTATCTCTATCTCACATTTTCTTTATCTATTCATCTGTCAATGGACACCTATGTTGTTTCCATGCCTTGGCTATTGTGAATGATGCTGCAATGAATATAGGATGCATGATTTTTGTGACAGTGATTTCATTGTCTTCAGATATATGCCCATATGTGGGATTGCTGGATCATATGGCAATTCTATTTTTAAGTTTTTGAGGAAACGCCTTACTGTTTTCCGCAATGGCTACACCAATTTACATTCCCACCAGTGGTTCACAGGGGGTCCGTTTTCTCAACATATTTGTCACCGAAGGTTATCTTTTGTCTTTTTGATAATATCCGTTCAAACAAATGTGAGGTGATTGTCCATGGTGGTTTTGATTTCCATTTTCCTGATGATCAGTGACATTGAGCATCTTCTGATATACTAGTTGGCTATTTTGTATCTCTTCTTTAGAAAATGTCTGTTCAGGTGTTTTGTCCATTTTTAACCAAATTATTTTTTAAAATTTATTATTATTATTAGCTATGGAGTTATATGAGTTCCTTATATATTTTGGATATTAATCCCTTATCAGATAAATATACTTATAAATATTTTCTTCCAATTTTTTAGCTGGTTTTGCATTTTGTTGCTGTTTCTTTTGATGTCTATTTGCTTTTTAGTTTGATGTAGTCTCATTTGTTTATTTTTGTTTTTGTTGCCTGTGTTTTTGGTGTCAGATCCGAAAATTTATTGCCAACACCAATGTCAGGGAGATTTCTCTCCATGTTTCCTTTTAGGAGTTTTGTGATTTCAAGTCTTATAGCTAAGTCTTTAATCCACTTGCAATAATTTTTTGTAAGTGGAGTAAGAGGTCCACTTCTTTTGCATGTGCATTTTCAGTTTTCCCAACACCATTCACTAAAGAGACTACACTTTCCTTATCAAGTATTTTTAACACCCTTGTCAAATATTGGTTGACTGTATATGCATGGGTTTATTTCTAGGCTCTTGATTCTTTTCCATACTATGTGTCTGTTTTTATGCTATTAACATACAAGGCCATACTGTTTTGATTAGTATAGCTTTGTAGTATAGTTTGAAATGAGGAAGTGTGACGCCTCTAGCTTTGTTCCATCTTAGGATTGCTCTGGCTAGTTGGAGTCTTTTGTAATTTCATATGAATTTTAGAATTATTTTTTTCTACTTTTGTCAAAAATGCCATTGGAATTTTGCCATTGGAGATTGCACTGAATCTATAGATAGCTTTGGGTAGTGTGTACATTTTAATAATTTAGCAATATTAAGAAATTAACAATTCTGATCCATAAATATGGGATATCTTTCTATTTATTTGTGTCTTCTTGAGCTTCTTTTATCAAAATTTTATAGTTTTCAGTATACAGGTCTTTCACCTCCTTGGTTGAATTTATTCCTAGGTATTTTATTCTTTTTGATGCATTTCTAAATGGGATTGTTTTCTTTTTCAGATAGTTTGTTGTTAATGCATAGGTATGCAACTGTTTGTATGTTGGTTTTGTATCCTGCAACTTCACTGAATTTTTGTTTTTTTTTTTTAAATGAAATCTTTCAGGCTCTCTACATGAAAGATCATACGTCTGCAAACAGAGATATGCAAACAGAGAGAGGAATAAAATTCCTTCCTACCCTTTGTTAAGGAGTTTATTTTCCTGAGACAAATGTAGAGTATGCCATGTTTCCCTTAATATGTTCCTGATACCTCTCATAAATGTAGCTGCTTTTGGACCCCTCCATTAATTTTCTACCCTTCTTTGTTTTTTGGTGGCAAGCTAAGTTTTTAAAAGTTTCTGTTTTCATGGGTGTTTTGCTGGGTGTTTGGGGAGAGGTTCTAGAAGAGAAGAAGTGAGGGACTTTTAACCATATGCCATTTTGTAATGAAATTCTCCAACCCAGAAGAGTTTTACTTTTTCAAAGAATGGCTAATTGAAACCTGACTTATCTCTTAACTATTTTACTATTTCAAATATACCCTTAGATGATGAACAGTGGATCTTTTTGTTAATAAGGCTGAATAACAAGTAATCAAAATCTGCTTTCAATTATTTCTGCTACACAAGGCCCTATTTAAGAAATGTTGTCTGCTCTTGTCTCTGGGGAACTTCTAGATGTTTACTTATGCAGATCAGCTCCTGAATGGGGTAGAGTGAACCTCACATTCCATCCTTTTGTATCAGTTGCAAGTAAGGGGTCTGTGGGTTCAAGCACCTGCCTCCACCCTTCAGACAGGTTTATCTTTTCTCATTCACTCAGCACCAGTGTCATGAATATCATTGTCTATAATTTGTCATGGTACAGTGAGATGTTCTGGGCTCTGGAAAAGCTGTT